AAATAAAGTTTTATGGACACACAGCCAAGTCTATTTATCCACCTACTGTCTATGGCTGCTCTCTTGCTGCAACAGCAGAGTTAAGTAGTGGCAGGAGAGACCACATGGCCCCTAAAGCCTAGAAATATTTGCTATTTGGCCCTTTACAGAAAAAAGGTTTTACTAATTCTTGTGCTAGGCCAACAATTTCTGGATAAGAGGAAGAAATAAAGGAAAACAGGACAGATTTTCCCAATCAAGGTCGACGATGCACTTGTAGTCAGCAAACCTCCTGAGCCTGCCTTACAAGTGAGAATGAAGGAAGAGGCAAGTTACAACCTCCAGTAATAAAAAGGGCTGTGGAGGCAGTCACTGGTGCATCTCAGCATAGGAATATTCAACAGATGCAACTTCCTTCCATCTGGCAACCACAAAGCAGGGTGGGCCCGGAGGGAGAAAGCAGGTGCTGTCCCTACAGAATCGCCCCCACCCCCTAAGGCCATGCACTCGGAGACTGGGTACAGCAGAGGAGAGGAGTGAGATGCGTGGCTGAAGAGGAGATGAATGTTAGCTCTGAAAACGGATCTGTCCATGCCTCATCCCCTGCACCTTCTCTGCAGAAGGTTGGTAAACAGCGGTTATGATAAGAAAAGGAGATTCTCCAAAGAAACCAGTCTGTCTAGGAAAAACTAAGGCTGCTAATGTGGAAGCCAGCAACTCAAAGCAAATTCTCTGCACTTTAGTCTCTAGGGGCCAAAAGTCACAAGAGCCAGCTCCCAGCCAAGGCCTCTACAGCAAGTGGTCAGCTGACAAGCCCACCCACGGCCGGCTGTGCCAGTGCCGCATCCTTCCCTGTGTGAACAAAGAAACCCTTCATCTAAGAAGCACGGTCTTCCAGTTGGTCTCCTGTTCCCACACAGCAGCTAGGAAGATCCTCTTACTTCCCTGCTCAAAACACACCAGTGGCTTCCCATTATCCAACCGGACTCAGTGGTTCATGCCTGTAATCCCAGCACTTTGGGAGGCTAAGGTAGGAGGACTGCTTGAGGCCAGGAGTTTCAGGTTAGCCTGAGTGACATAGTGAGACCCCTTCTCTACAAAAAATGACAAAAATCAGCTAGGCATGGTGGTGCACACCTGTAGTCTCAGCCACTTGGGAGGCTGAGGTGGGAGGATGGCTTGAGCCTAGTAGTTCAAGGCTGCAGTGAGCTAGGATTGCACCACTGCACTCCAGCCTGGGCAACCGAGTGAGACCCCGTCTCTAAAACCAAAAAACCAAAACAACCCCCACTCCCTGCCAAAATCCCAAAACCCTGTCTAGGCAGGCTGTTTATAAAACCCTACCCTCCCTTGTCGGTGCCTGGCTCCCTACCTCCATCCCTCCCCCCTCCCTACCCTCGCTTCTCCTTAGCCAACCGGTGGACACCTGGCGGTGGTCATGGCAAACCCACTTCCTCCATGGGGCCTTCGCACTAGCTGCTGCCTCTGGCTGAGGGAGGATCTTTCCCTAATCTTTGTACCGTGACCTCCTTCTTGACATTCACATTTTACTCTTCGTGTCGTCTGCTTGGTGAGACCGTCCCTGACCTCCTGAAGCAGCCTCCCAATCTCAGCAGAGGGGCTGCCACAGGGTCCTGTCACCAGGGATGTGTGGAGCCATGTGAGTAGTTCTGGTTGTCACTACGGTGTTGAGATCCCCAGGGCCACTGCACTGCAAAGGTGACACGCTGTCATATCCAATGTCACTCATGCCCTGCAGAAAACACCTGCAGCACTGCACTCCACGTTTGTGCCATCACTGGAGGCAAACTCCACGAGTGCGGGAACTCTGCACTCACAGTGGGGCTCAGCACTGCTGGGTGTCACCGTGAACCTGCTGGCTGACAGAATGAAAGGACTGCCTGGAGGAAAGCCACAATGTCAGAAAGAACAGCCCAGATAAAGAACATGGTACCGAGAGAGGGTACAGCCCCTTCAGGGAACAGAAGGGTGACCTGACTCCAGAACCCAGCCTCTGTCACACCGTACAACTTCCCTGAGCTGGACAGTGGCCCAGTTCATAATCAGCAAGACAGTCAAGTGGCTGTGCCTTGTGAAGCAGCCTGAGAACAGGAGGAAGATGATGGGGAAACTTTGATTTCTATATTCCTTTATTTTTTAATCATGTGTGTTTTGACCCCTAAATAAATAAATAAATAACAGAAAATGTCTATAAAGACAGACTGGGAGGACGAAAGGTCATGACTGCTCCTGGGTCTCTCCAGGAACCACTCCTGTGGGCAATGGAGTCTTCCTTGTGTGGGGATCAGGTGCAGGCCAAGCACAGACCAAGCAGCAGACAGGCCTCCCTCCTGTCTCACCATGCATTCCTCTTTCTCTAATTTTATCTCCTGCCTTCTCTTTTGCCAATGTATGTCTTCTCTTCCTTTAAATTTAACCTTAAATTTGATATTTCATATTCAGGACAGTGATAGCTAACAAAATAAATTAAATACACTTACATTGGAATTATTTTGGAATATACTGTTAGGGTGTGAGACAGCTCTGTCCAACGGAACTTTCTGTGAAGCTACGAACGTTCCACCTCTGCTGGTCAACAGAGTAGCTGCTGGCCACATGCAGCTACGGAGCACTTGAAATGTGGCCCATGCAACCGAGGGATTGAATTTTTTATATAATTTGAATTTTCATTAATTTCTATTTAAATTAAGAATAGCCTCCCCAGACTTTAGAATGTTCGATTAAAAAAAAAAATCGCCACATGTGGTAAATAATGAACATCCTGGCCAGGGCAGGTCTAATGGCTTCAGAGCCCTCTGTCCTTCGATATTACCATCTGGCGAAGCCAGTCCTCAGTCAGAGATAACACCTGCAGGATGCACGATGTCTGAAATTAATCTCTTTAGGGCCGTGTTCATTTTTTTTTTTTTGAAATGGAGTCTCACTCTGTCGCCCAGGCTGGAGTGCAGTGGTGCGATCTCAGCTCACTGCAACCTTGCCGCCCAAGTTCAAGCGATTCTCCTGCCTCAGCCTCTCGAGTAGCTGGGATTACAGGTGCCTGCCACTGTGTCTGGCTAAATTTTGTAGTTTTAGTAGAGACAGAGTTTCACCATCTTGGCCAGGCTGGTCTTGAACTCCTGACTACATGATCCACCTGCCTTGGCCTCCCAAAGTGCTGGGATTACAGGCATGAGCTAACAGCACTGGGCTGCTCAATCTTATATTTAAAAAATATATAAAACATAGCGTGATGGTGCATGCCTGTAATCCCAGCTACTTGAGAGGCTGTGGCAGGAGAATCGCTTGAACCTGGGCAGCAGAGGTTGCAGTGAGCTGAGATTGCACCACTGCATTCCAGCCCAGGCGACAGTGAGACTCCGTCACACACACGAGATGAAGAAAAAGCCTATATCCTTAATAAAGCATTTCCCCCCCTTCTGGAGACCTTAATTTCTAGGCTTGTTCTCTCACTCCCCCAGGCGGAGAACATGAAGATGACAATGTTGGCTGGATTTAGAAGCAGCACTGACTTCACTACAGGGGCACCGGAAAGTCTCTGCTTAACACAACATGCTGATGGGAACTAGATGATTAGACAGGATGCTGTGCTAAACCAGACACTGCTGTGCCCTGACCTTTGGCAGGTACCCAACATTTAAGGAAACACTGGAGGCCTGTCTTAGAATTGAAATATTCCAGATGACTCTTCCCTGTGATTTAGGAAAACATCACAGCATTTTATGGTGGCAGCCTGACTCACTCAGCTCCGCTAAGGATGCAGGTGGAAGCCTTTCCACCATCATATGGCAGGGCTAGAAGCTGCCATTCACCCTGCCGTTGCTTCAGTGTTGGAACTTTGAGCTTCTTTCTTGAACTGGAAAACTTTAGATTTCATATCATTTGCTTGATAAGCTCCTTCTAGAATTGCATGTAGTGTAGTGGAGCTTTTACTGAAGAGGGTGAGAAATGCTGACTGATCTTATCTACTGGCTTTAACTGTAATATGCACTCTAGGGTCCAGTGTGCTTTCTGGAACTCCATAATTTAATGGTGAGCCTGTGTCCGCTTAGATGCTTTAAAGTGTCTGATTTTTCTTTCTTTCTTTCTTTTTTTTTTTTTTGAGACGGAGTTTCACTCTTGTTACCCAGGCTGGAGTGCAATGGCGCAATCTCGGCTCACCGCAACCTCCGCGTCCTGGATTCAGGCAATTCTCCTACCTCAGCCTCCTGAGTAGCTGGGATTACAGGCATGCGCCACCATGCCCAGCTGATTTTTTGTATTTTTAGTAGAGACGGGGTTTCACCATGTGGACCAGGATGGTCTCGATCTCTTGACCTCGTGATCCACCCGCCTCGGCCTTCCAAAGTGCTGGGATTACAGGCGTGAGAAGTGTCTGATTTTTCTTACCCAAAGCTCCAGGTGGCTCTTTACATGAAATGGGTTCCATCTTGTCCCATCCACTCAGGGACTATAAGATCTAACTGAATGGGGGCCAAGTTACTCCCAAGTACCCTGAATGTCCAGAAGCAACAGGTGCTACACTTCAGCTATGACAGCCAACACTTCAGTTCTGAACAGGTCAATACTACGTTCTTCTTTTTTATCGACTCAATCCTCAACACAGTGCTCGCACAGAACAAGAGGTGCTCAAAACAAAACCTATCTCATAAAACACATGAAATATATATATATATGTAACTTACGCTCTACTGAGAAATATTCCCAAAATAAGGAAATACTAAGTTTGGGAGGCCGAGGCGGGTAGATCATAAGGTCAAGACCAGCCTGGCTAAGTTTGTGAAACCCTGTCTCTACTAAAAATACAAAAATTAGCCAGGTGTGGTGGCAGGCGCCTGTATTCCCAGCTACTCAGGAGGCTGAGGCAGAGAACTGTTTAAACCCGGGAGGCAGAGGTTGCAGTGAGCCAAGATCATGCCACTACATTCCAGCCTGGGTAACACAGTGAGACTCTGTCTCAAAAAAAATAAAATAAAATAAAATAAAATAAATACAAAGCACCAAAGATCACAGGGAAACTTTATATAGTCACTGCCACATAACATTTAACAACAGACTGCACATATGATGATGGTACCGTATTTTATGGTATCTTTTCTGTGTTTAGATACACAAATTCTTGCTGTATTATAGGTGCCTACAGGGTTCAGCACAATGACACGCTGTACAGGTGTGTAGCCTGGAGTGACAGGCTATTCCATATGGGCTACGTGTGTAACAGGGTGTACCACCTAGCTTTGTGTTAAGTACATGCCTGTAATCCCAGTTACTTGAGAGGCTGTGGTAGGAAAATTTGTTGTCACAAAACGACATGGCTTAACAACACGGCTCTCAGAATGCACCCCCCTCATTAAGCGATGCATAACCGTATTTAAATGGAAATCCTGTTTTGAAATGCTTTAATTAAAATAAGATCGTATGAGACTATACTTTTTACCACTGACCTTTGAACCAAGATCTGATGAGACTACTTTTTTCCACTAAATATGTAAAAGAAAACTAAGAAAAAAAACCAAAATATCTACTTTTAAAAAATTTCACAAGACATTAGAAGACTGAAGTACCATAATCTTCTGCTTTAGTGTAGTGTTATTTATTTAAAACAAATTACATTAAATGAAAATTCTACATTACAATTCCATTGCTGAATCAAAAAAGTGACAAAGAAATAAGCCTCTTAATAAACAAGATTTTTTTTTATTATTGTTGCTAATTTACAGTATCAGAAAACTCAGCAACCTGATTTGAAGCTCTCCTTTTCAGTACCTTAAAATCCCACCAGCCGAACACTTTTTGACTCTAGGTCCTAATATATATGGCAAGATCAAAGAAGAATCAAGCTCAATAGACGCCTTTGAGGACTGAATCTAGCTAGGAAGGCAAGTCACAGGGAACAAAGGTCACCTAACGCAGTAAACACGACAGACAACTGTACAGCCAGCCACTGGTCTACTAAGTAACTGCTATACACATTTAAAAGATGGAAAACATACAGTCCAAGATGGTGAGAAGCAGCTTCACTGAAGTTTCTGGATGGATGAACTTGAGCTGGAGCTAAAAAGATGAAAAGATTCAGAAGGCCAGCAGAGGACGGGGAGAGTATTCTAAAACAGTAGTTCTTAAAGTGTGGTCTGGGGACCCTGGGGCGGCAGCAGGGGGGTGTCCCTTGACCCTTTCAGGGGTCCACGAGGTCAAAACTGTTTTTATGATAACATGAAGACGTATGATTTGCCCTTTAAAGCTCATTATGGGGAGTTTTTCACAGGCTACTCATATTAAATCAAAACAGCCCGCATGCAGGAGCAGGCAGCTACCTTCTATGGAGCCAGATGTTAAAGAGATTTGCAAAAACAGAGCCATGCCACTTTCTTCAGCAAATTAAAAAAAAATTGTTTCCACATAAAAGTTTTTTTATGTCAACAGGTAATGGGTGTTATTGTTATTAATAGATGAACTATTTTAAAACTTTCAGCTTGAATTTAGTTTCTAATGAAAAATATCAGTAGATACAACCCACTAAAGAAAAGCTCTTTGGGATGCTCGATAATTTTGAAGAGTATAAAGCAGTGATCCCCCTTCTGTGTAAGCATTTCTCTTCTAAAGGAAATATAATGCTCAGATGAGTACGTGCCCTGTGTGGTTTGTAAGCAAACGAACATATTTTGGAAAGGTGTCTTTACAGTGAGGTGGCTCAACTGGGGGTGATCTGATCTGCCAGGAGACATTAGGCAATGTCTGGAGGGATCGTGGTTGTCACAGTTGGTGGGGGCGGTGGGCCACTGGCATCTAGGGGTAAGGCCAGGCACGCTGGTGAATGTCCTAGGAAGTACAGGGCCACTGGGCAGCCCCACAACAAAACATCTGGCCCCACAGTCAAGTGCTGAGATTGGAACCTTTGGTCTAGAGCGGTGGAGGTCACACAGGAGGCACCTGGGGTCTACCAACCTTGCAGCTTGTGATGTAGGACAGAATGGGGGCTAGAGAAGGGAGCTGCTTAAGGAAGAACCACCACTCCCAGGCCCCAAGGGCAGCAAGCCCAGGACAGCTGCCTCCTAACAACCCCAAAGCTCGGGCTCTGCAGCAGCGGAGGACGGATCCTCCCTGCCAGGCCTCTTTCCCATTCCCCTGGGCTCGAAGGAAAGACCATGGTGAGGTGCTGGGAAGAGTGAGCCAAGACATGACAATTAAAAGCAAGTGATTCTACTTACTCCGTAATCATTACATATGAATTTCATAAAGATTTTCAAAGTATTACTTCCCTTGGTCTTCTCTGGGTTTCACTGAAGTTCAGCTTAGGGTTGTATGAAAAAAAGTTGGGAAGAGACTGATGGAAACTGAGGCATGGGAGGTTCTAGAGAAAGCCCCAAGCTCAGAAGTGAGCCTACAGGGGTGTCAGGGACTTTCCTTGGAGGGATCACACCAAACTAAACGACTGTCCTTGTCGTTCTCACACTTAACTCAGGTGAAAACTCTTGCTACAGAACTGTGAAAAGGAGTATTTCTTGAAAAAATATTTTTCATGGCCCGGTGTGATGGCTCATGCCTGTAATCCCAGCACTCTGGGAGGCAGAGGCAAGTGGATCCCCTTAGCTTGGGAGTTTGAGACCGGCCTGACCAACATGAAGAAACACCGTCTCTACTAAAAATACAAAATTAGCCAGGCATGGTGGCACACGCCTATAATCCCAGCTACTCAGGAGGCTGAGGCAGGACAATCACTTGAGCCTGGGAGGTGAAGGTTACAGTGAGCCAAGATTGCGCCATTGCAGTCCAGCTTGGGCAACAAAGTGAAACTCTGTCCCCACCCCCACCCCCAAAAAAAAGAAAGAAAAGAAAAGGTATTTTTCATAAAAAATGTTATTTGTTAACATTATCTAATGGGTGTATTATTAAATATTTTTAAAATTTCAGTTTTAATTTCTAAAAAATTACTCCTCTGCCTACCACCTATGTGGCCTGAGGCGACTGTCAGTCTCACTAGCTCTAGGACAACAGGGAGTGGTGGCAGTGGAATGTAAAGGGAGAGATTATAACAGGAAAAAGGTTGTTACTGAAGTAGAAGGTGCCAAGGCCAGCTAACGAGTTGGAGAGAGGGCTGTTCTTTCTTTTCAGCAACAGATATTATGGAAGAGTTGCTGTAGAGACTTTCAAACAAAACTAAGCTGAAGCAGGTGTAAAACACACGACAATTCTCAAACCACCTTTAATGTGCTTAAAACAAATCACTTTACAAAAATCATGAACACTTTTAAAAATGTGATGCTGGACACAGTACACATGCTTAAAAGAACACCAACCTATGGTCTGATCTTACAAAACTGACTTTAGGAATCTTGGAGCAATTTACTAAGATTCTAAATAATCATAAAATGTGCCTAGTTATGTTTCCACAAATTTGAATGTTACACTGAGAACAGATGCTGAAAATTGAGTTTCCTTGTCAATCTCCACAGAATTTTCCAATTTCAAGTGGCCCATGAGCCCATTTGCTGCCTCATCCCTTAAGAGTTTCTATGAAATAAATCAGAAGTACTGGGAAGAAACTTTTATTTCCAGGACAGATGTGCAAAAGCAACAAGTCAAAATTAACCATTCTATCTGAAAGAGAAGAAACATGTACCAACACATTCATTCAAAGAGAAGTTTCTAGAATTAGGCAAATGTTACATGGCAGCAGTTATGACCTTAAACAGAATTTTGTGACATGAAAGATACATCCTGACATATCTCTTGCAGGGAAAATGTCTTTCAAGAAGGGTAACATCCAATCTGTTCTATACATTAAAAAATGGCGAGGGAGGGGAGCACTACACACTGGGGTCAGTTGGGGGGAAATAGGGGAGGGACGGTGGGGGGTGGGGAGCTGGGGAGAGATGCCAGCAAGGGGAGAAATGCCAGATGTAGGTGATGGGGAGGAAGGCAGCAAATCACACTGCCACGTGTGTACCTATGCAACAATTTTGCATGTTCTTCACATGTACCCCAAAACCTAAAATGCAATAAAATAAATAAATGGGAAAAAAAATGGCCTAATCTTAAACTCACCAAATCATTTTAAGGATAAGAAAACAGGGTCACACAAGTTAGGTGACATCATTTATGGCAAAGCAAGAATCTGCATGTTTATTTTCTAACTCCCAGGCTGAAATATTTTCCACTCTATCAGTCTATCCTCTATTCTAGGACTTCATCTTTCTTACGGAAAAACCCAAACCATCAAATATCCCCTTGTTCTACCCAAGAATTGTTCTGCAACATATGCCGCCTGCTTCCTTGCTTCCTATGAGGCTAAACAGCCAGGCAGGATTTTATTATAAGGACCTGCCATAAACTTGAAGTAGGGTGTTAAGTCATTGAGAGGCCAGGTTCTTGAATGCTTTCTCTGTTGGGATTATTTCCACACCATCTGGCTCTCTGCCCTGGACAGGTCCCTGCTCTGTACGTCTTTCAAGGCTGAGGCCCCAAGTGGGGTAACTGTCCCATTAGAAGGTGAGTTCACTGGGTAATGGGAGCAACTGCTCATTGTGAAGGTGACGTGATGTAAAAGCCTTGAAAGGGGCTGGACTCCGTGGCTTGCATCTGTAATCCCGGGACTTCGGGAGGTCGAGGTGGGCAGATTACCTGAGGTCAGGAGTTAGAGACCAGCCTGGCCAACATGGTGAAACCCTGTCTCTACTAAAAATACAAAAAAAATTAGCTGGGCATAGTGATGGGCACCTGTAATTGCAGCCACCTGGGGGGCTGAGGCGGGAGGATCGCTTGAACCCGGGAGGTGGAGGTTGCAGTGAGCAGAGACCACAGCATTGCACTCCAGCCTGGGAACAAGAGCAAAACTGTCTCAAAAAAAAAAATTATAATCATCTGCATTGGGTCATCT